CGAAGGCGTTCGTCGTCTCCGCCGCGGCCGGCGAGCTGACGTCCCCGCTCGCGTTCATCGCGGCGCTGAAGAAATCGATCGCGGGGTTGCGGCCGTCGAAGCTGGGAAGGAGGCGGGAGTACGAGGAGGCGAGCGCGGCGGCGGCGGCGGCGATCGACGCCGCGGAGACGTATTGCCACCACCTCGCGCCGCTGGTGAAGGCCGCGGAGGACGCTGAGGCGGAGTACTTCGCCGCGAAGAAGGAAGCGGAGGCGACGCCACCGTCGTTAAGGGTCGAGGGGGGAGAAGTGGCGAATGAGACGGCGACGGGGCCCACGGCGCCGACGGAGCCGTCGACGCCGTCGCCGCCGGGAGCGGCGGCGGCGGCGGCGGCGCCGACGACGGACGCGACGAGGACGACGGCGGAGACGACGACGCCGGCGCCGGCGCCGTCCACGGCGACGTCCGCACCCCCCAGCGCGCGTCCGAGCGCGAGGGCGAAGGCGTTTCTCCGACGCGCCGCAGAGGAGGCGACGAAGTGCGTCGGCCCTTCCGTCGAGGACGCGGCGGCGGCGGCGGCGGCGTTGACGTCGGCGCTCGTCTCGCGCGTCGCGAGGCACGCCGTGGGCGCGGACGCGATCGACGCGCTGCTCGGGACGTGCGCGGGGGCGTTGACGCACCGCGCGCGACGCGCGACGGCGCCGTTTTCTCTCGGCGACGTATTGGACGCGTGCGAGGACGAGATTCAGCGCGCGTGCGACGCGTGCGTCGCGACCGCGGAGGTGGAAGGGGAGCTCGCGTAAGTACTGTAGAAGATTTATGAAAAAGTGCACAGAAGAGACGAAAAAGCGCAAGATATTTTATCCGGAACGGACGGATCGGCTCGCGACGCATCTCTCCGCAAGCGCGCCGAGACGTCATGGCCACGTCCGCGACGACGTTCGGCGCTCACGCGCGATGCGCGTCGTCGCGACCGCGCGCGCGCGACCGAGCGCGCGTCCTCCGCGTCCGCGCTTTCGAATCGTCGTCGTCGTCCAGATCTGATGGCGCGAAAAACGATGGAGAACGGGCGGATCGTTCCAACAACGCGGTCGCGCGATACAAGCGCCGCGTCCCGTTCGTGGACTACTACGAAGTCCTCGCCGTGGACCCGAAGGCGAACGCGGACGAAGTGAAAGCCGCGTATCGCGCGCTCCAAAAGGCCGTGCACCCCGACCTCGCCGGCGAGTACGCGTCGATCGCCGCCGCGCTCGTGAACGAGGCGAACGTCGTGCTGCGATCCCCGCGCGATCGCGCGTCGTTCGACCGCGACCGCTCGGAGTGGCGCGCGCGCGGCGACGTCGCCGCGGAGGACGCGTCTCTGATGAACCCCGCGCCGCTGTCGCGCTGGAGCGGCCCGGCGCGCGACGAACCGGAGAGCGCGAAGGGGCGGCACGACGCGGTGTTCGTGGACGAGTCGCAGTGCGTCGGATGTCTGCAGTGCGCGCTGCTCGCGCCCAAGACGTTTTTCATCGAGACCCGGCACGGCTGCGCGCGCGCGGTGGACCAGTGGGCGGACGGCAGGGACGCCGTGGAGGACGCCGCGGCGGCGTGCCCCGTGCGATGCATTCACTTCGTGGACCGCGCGACGGAGCTGCCACTGCTGGAACGCGTCGCCGCGCGGCTGTGGACCGAGGGCGGCGGGAAGATTCAGGTGCGTTCTATACAAAAGTTTTTCACCCATCGCCCGGTTTCAACACTTGATCGCGTTCCCTTTCAACTGACCGGTGAACCGTTTTTGTATGGAATGGCCCTCAGGCGGGGGGCGTCGGACGCGTCTACGGGAAGAGCTCGCCGTTCGACGTCGCCGCGGCGTTGAAGCGAAGAGGGGTCGTGAGGTGGCCGTCTAGGAGCGGCGGAGGGACGAAGACGGACACGAGCAAGGCGGGCGCGGCGATCGACGCGGCGGTGAAAGCCGCGGCGGCGGCGGCGGCGGCGCGCGCGGAGCGAGACGCGTGGAGAGGGGCGAAGGAGGAGGGCGAAGCTCTCGTCGACGAGAACGATGACGATGACGACGACGCCACCACCGCGATCGAGATCGCCGTGCCCGTGAGCGCGTACATCGCGGACGACGTCGGCGTCGCGGGCGCGGGGTGCGAGCGCGGAGGAAACGGAGGAAAGGGCGCGTCCGCGGCTGAGGTCGCGAGGGTGACGTCGCTTTTGCGCTCCGGGTCGGGGTCGGGGTCCAGGTCCGGGTCGAGCGACGACGGCGACGACGCGCTTCTCTCCGGGAGCTCCGCCGCGGCGACGGAGTTTTGGGAGCCGCTGCCGGTGAGCGAGCGCGCCGCGAGCGCGAGCTTCGAGGAGGAGACGGACGACGGCTTCGCCCCGAGCGAGTGGCTCGCGAAGGTGCGGTCGAACGTCGTCGCGAGTCGTCGAAGCTCGGGGGACGTCGCGGCGGCGGACGCGAACGTCGACCAACCTCCGGCTGCTCCGGCGGCGGCGCCCGCGCCGCGGAAGGTGATCAAAGCGCGCAGCGTCGCGGCGTCGCTGCCGCCGTTCTCGACCGTCGCGGCGGCGTTGCTCATCGCGGCGGCGACGACGAACGGCGCGGGGGACGCGGGGGGGGCCGCGGCGGCGGAGCAAATCATCTCCGTCAACGGCGCGCTGTGGACGCCCGGGCCGTTCGCGCAGTTCGCGTGCTGCGCGGTGTCGTGGATCGTGCTTCTTCAGGCGACCGTGCAGGTCGTGGACGCGGTCGTGTTCGTCACGACGCAGGAGATTCACGACGGGAAGTGATGTCATCTAAGTCTAAAAGTTTTTTTAGTCTATTTAAAATCTTCGTGTAACTTCAACGCGAACTGCGCCGCGTGCCTCCCCGCGCCGTAAAAGTCGGACACGATCCCTCGTTCCGTCTCTTTCTCGAACCCCAACGCCTCATACAGCGTCGTCGCCGCGGCGTTGTCGATTTCCACGCGCAAACGCACGACGCGCGCGCGTTTATCCTTCGCGCGCGCGATCGCCGCGGAAACTAATTCGCGTCCGACGCCTTCCCTCCGCCTCGAGCTCGTCACCGCCACTTTCGTCACGACGCACTCCATCGACCCGGTCGTCATCGTGAGAAACCCCACGACGTCGCCATCGACATCGCCACCGCCATCGCGCGCGATGAACGTCTTCGTCGCGCGCCGCAGACGCGGCGTCGTCGCCAACGCGTTCCAACCCGTGCGATGCGACGTCGACGGGAAACAATCCGCGTCCACGCTCGCGAGCCGACGCGCGAGTTCCTCCCACGCGTCGTCGTCGTCCGCCTCGAGTTCGCGCACGACGACGTTCGCGTCGCTCCCCATCGCTCACGGGGTCCTTTCCTTTTCCTTTCGCCGCCTCTTCAGCGCCTTCTTCTGCGCTTTCGCGGAGAGCCCGGTCCTTCCGACGACGCCGAGGCGCCTGGATTTGTTCACCGACGCCTCGGGGCCTCGGCGGTGCTTCTGCAGGTGCGCGCGCGGCGCGGGGACCTCTGGCGGCGGCGGCCTCGCGCGAGGATCGTTCTCGCGCGCGCGCGGTTTCGCGGGCGCCGGCGCGGGTCGGAACGCCAGCGCGGCGAACGGATTCGCGCCGCCGCCGCCGCCGACCCTCGCTGGTTTCGTCGTCGATCGCGGCCGCTCCCCCGCGCGCGCCTTCTTCCTCGCGCGCGTCTCCTCGCCCTCCTCGCTCACTCTGCGCAGACGCTCCGCCGCCGCGGCCGCGGCGACCTTGACCGCGCGGACCGCCGCGAGCTCCTCCGCGTCGAGGCCTTCCTCGTCGCGAAGTCCGGTCGCGGCGCCGTCGTCGTCGTCGTCGTCGTCCTCCTCCTCCTCCTTCTCGGAAGGTGACGGCTCGCACGACGGGAACGCCGCGTCCTCCTCCGCCTCGAGCCTCGCGCGCTCGTCCTCCTCGATCTTCTTCCTCTCGAGGTCCGCCCACTGCCCTTCCTCGATCTGCTCGCGTTTCTGCCGCTTCTTCACGCGCTTCGCCCAGCGATGCCCTTGCGTCTCCGGGTTCGTGCCCTTCATGGGCGGCGCCTCCGACAGTGATGAGATCTGACTGAGGCCCGAGCGCGCGAGATGAAATCATCAGTTTAGGTTCGCGCGCGCTCGGGATACAGACCATGCGGGGACAAGTGGGGGACGATGCGACGCCATCTCGATTCAGATGGCCTGACGGTACGTCATGGACGCCCCCAACTACGGAGGAGCTCTTGTCACGGGGCGCGGCTGCGGTCGCGCGCGAGTACTTGCGTCCGTTGCCTCGGTTGCCGAGGACACTCGACTCTGCGGCACCTGCGATCAATGGGCGTCGCGTTCGCGGAGACGTCGATGTGAACGCGCAGCGTACAGGCAAATCGCGCAAAGCGCTATCATCGGATGATGATGCGAAGCGCAATGCCGTATGCAACTCCTTTCTCAAGGGTCGGTGCCTTTACGCGGAGCGTTGTAAGTTCTCGCATGACCTTGAGTTGTACCTCGCTCAGAAACAGCCAGACTTGCCGGGCGAATGTCCTTTCGGAGCGGCAAGTACGAACATATGTCCGCACGGAGCTGCATGCCGTTACTATGGCTCCCATCCGCCCGCAACGAACGACGGGAGCTACGACTCAACCGCCGACCTTCACCAGGCTTCACGCGTGTTGTTGGAAGCGGCCCGAGAGAAAAATGCCGCCGCCGCTGCCTCGTCGGAGGTTCATACTCTCGCTCTCCCGCTCCCTATCGGCGCTGTGCAAGACGAACTTAACCAACTTGCGGTCGATTTGAAGTTGAAATTGAGGAAGAATGCGATCAAGTTTTCGCGTGCAGATGCGGTACTCGCATCGATGGGGGTCAAGACGACCTCGCGGAGTAACGGCAAGTGCAGCGGCTTCGACGAGGCTGGTACGAAGCGACGTAAGGGCGAAAACGGTGGCATCACCGAGGGAATTGACGTGGCTGAGGTTAACGCAGTCGAGCAGAACGCCTTTCGGCGTATGAACGCGAGGGAAAAACAGACGGTTGACTTCAGCGATAAGCTTTACCTCGCGCCGTTGACCACCGTTGGGAACCTTCCGTTTCGCCGTGTTTGTAAGGGTTTAGGCGCTGACATCACGTGCGGTGAGATGGCCATGTGCACGAATCTTTTGCAAGGTCAGCCTAACGAGTGGGCATTGCTTCGACGGCATCCAAGCGAAGACTTATTCGGGGTCCAGATTTGCGGTGGTTATAGTGATTCCGTCGCACGTTGCTCACAGCTCATCGACGACGTGATCGTATCGCAAGGTGGCTGCGATTTCGTAGACATCAACATGGGTTGCCCTATTGACCTCGTCTGTAACAAAGGCGGGGGTTCGATGCTCTTAGAGCGGCATAATCGGATGGAGCAAATTGCTCGATCAGCTTCCTCTTTGCTTTCTTGCCCACTCACGCTCAAGACCCGGACGGGATACTATGATAATAAACGTGTTGCGCATGATATCGTCCCAAAGCTCAAAGATTGGGGAGTCGCTGCTGTTACTCTACACGGGCGTTCACGGCAACAGCGATATAGTCGTCTTGCTGACTGGGAGTACATAAAAAACACTGCCAATGTATCATCTGTGCCTCTTATAGGTAACGGCGACGTCTTTAATTTCCGTGACTATGAAAAGAATGTCGAGGGCACAGGAGTGATGACGTGCATGATCGCAAGAGGCGCGCTGATTAAGCCTTGGATATTCACCGAAATCAAAGAGAGAAGAGATTGGGATATCAGCGCGACCGAGCGGTTGGATATGCTAAAACGCTTCGCCGCATATGGCTTAGAACACTGGGGAAGCGATGAGCGAGGTGTAGAAAACACAAGAAGATTCCTTCTCGAGTGGCTGTCTTTTCTACACCGGTACATCCCTGTCGGTTTGCTGGAAGTCGTTCCGACTGGAATACACCAGCGCCCGCCGAGTTACGTGGGACGAAACGAGCTGGAAACCTTATTCGCGTCAACCCAGGCAGAGGACTGGGTGAAGATCACTACGATGTTGCTCGGTCCCCCGCCAGCTGGATTTAATTTTGTGCCGAAGCATAAAAGCAACGCATACGGGGCAGGCGAGAAAGGGGCAGCTCTAGCCGATTTCGATGGATTAAGCGCGCAAGGGTGAAGGTGGGTGACTATCTTATAGCTGCCAAGGTATCGAATCAGACGCGCCCTCCGCCGCTCGTCAAAAATCCACGCGCTCGCAGACGAAGTGCTGATCCACGCGCGCGGCCGTCCCATCGCGCGAGGGAAACAGCCCGTACCATTTCAGCGCGGCGTCGTCGACCCCCCCGAGCGCGCTTCTCCCGTCGACGCACACGAAATGCCCCGTCGCCTCCATCTCCGCGCGGAAGTCGTCGCACGCGTAGCGCGTCGTCCCGCCCCCGCCCCCGCCCCCGCCCGCGCGGCACGGCGCCGACGTCTGCATCCAGCCGCCGTCTCGAACGACGCGCCCGAGCTGCACGACGGCGAACGTCGCGTCGCGCAGTCGCTGGAGCTCGTCGAGGATCACGACGCCGTCCGCGACGCCGGAGTACATCGGCAGGCACTCGTTCGGGCGCATCTTATTCGCGGGGAAGCAGTCGCCGCGGCCGGTCAGGTCCGCGATGAGGGGCCCGGCGTCGTCGTCGTCGGCGTCGGCGGCGGCGTCGGCGGCGGCGGCGGCGTCGGCGGCGTCGGCGCTCTCCTTTCGCGACGGTCGCGCGCCTCCTCGCGATCCGTCGTCGTCGTCGTCGTCGTCTCCTCCTCCTAATCTTCTTCCTCCTCTCCCGCCCTCTCCCTCGAGCTCCAGCGCGATCACGCTCGCGCCCGCGTCGCGCATGCGCGTCGCGAGCGCCTCGTTCGGCTCGAAGTACGCGACGACGAAGCGCTCGTCGCCGGCGGCGGCGCCGCCGCCCGCGCGCGCCTCGAGGACGCCCGGTTCGAACAGCCGCTCGCGCTGCACGATCGCCGCGACGCGCTCGCGCGCGGTCGCGCCGCAGTGCGGGCACCGCGCGCGCTCCCCTTCGCCCCACTCGCTCCGACGCACGCACTCGCCGCACACCGGGCACGTGTCCATGCCCTGGCGCTCGCACTCGGCGCGCTTCAGCTCCAAGGACGACGGCGCGAGCGCGGACGCGCCGCGCGGCGATCGCGAGATCCGCGATCGCCACGACCTGCGCGCGAGAACGTCGTCGGGCTCGGACACGGGCATCCGCCCGAGGACGTACATCGTGTAGCACGCGACGATCGCGACGACGACGTGCGCGATGCGTCGCGCGAGCTTCTCGCGCGGGCTCATCGACGCCGCGGCGTGCGTCCTCGGTCGCGGTCGCGCTCGCCTCATCAGTGACGCGACGCCAGCCCCGCGCGCGCGAGACCTCTAAAAAAATCGCAATCGCGGCGTCGTCGCAGTCCCGGGCGCGCGCGGGTCTCCACGATGGCGGCCGCGGAGGCGCCGCCGTCGTCGCCGCCGGCGTCGCCGACGCCCGCGCGGAAGCAGAAGACGCGCCGCGAGCGCCCCGCGCTCGCGGCGGACGCCGCCGCCGCGTTC